ATTCCGACAAAGTCACCGGGAGGAGCTGCACGCCAGGGGTACAAAACGGGGCAGGGATTTGGGGCAAACACGGTACGGTGAATTGGGAGGGGATGAACAAGCAGAAACTGAAGAAGGCCAAGTTCACTTACAGGGTAGGAGGAGATGGCAAATGGGTCGAAGGAAGTATTTGGGGATCAGGAGGTTAGGAGTGCTTTGAAAGAGAAAGTGGGTGAGGTGGAGAAAGCTTTCCATGCCTCCGCAGGGTTAATGGCAATAAATTAATTCTTTCAGCAGTATTTAGTCTTAGAACATGATAGGTAGGAGAGAAAAATGGAGAATTGGGAGGGACTTGGCTAGTGATAGCTATTATAGGAACATTCGTGGCACAATAACTTAATGGTACCATACTAGTTTCAGGAACAGATATATGATGGTGTCACTTGACTGAGCAGTTTTCATTTTGGTGGAAAACATGACTTTACCCTGTTGACAGGAGTTTTGATTATGGTCTATTTAGATTTAAGCCTTATTGAACCAAGAGTGCAAGGAGGGAGTTTCAAGAATTCAGTGGAAAGCAATATTTAAATATTAAACTGTAAGAAGTGTCTGCTGTTCTGTGACTTGCTGTCTGGTCCCTGTGCCCACACTGGCTTCATATTTGCCTTCTCTTCCATGAGTTTTCAGTGTTAAAACTGATCTAAACTTAAGACATTCTACCTAAAAACAGCTTCAAAAACAAAACTATTTGTGGTTGGTAAGGAAGAATGTAATTTCATTTGTTGCCTCGGTTTTATGTTTGGTTGCAGTATATTATTTAAAACATTTCTTGATACTTTTTCCTTTTCTGACTAATTGCAGGTCTGTGGGAGTAGGTTGATAAGCTAGCTTGTAAGTTTCCACCAGCACTTTCATGCTTAAGTGAAAGCAATTTTCAACCAGTGTGCTGCAAGAATTTTTAAGACATGCTGATACCTGACTATTTTAGTCAGGAGCACTGACATTTTTTCCCTTAGATTGTCATGTAAAAAAATGACAACTAGCCAACACAATAGCCGTCCAGTGTGGATGAATCAAAATTATATCTATTTTTTTTTGTCAGATCAGCAAAAAATATAACATGTTTTGGTATGCCAAAGAATTTTAGTAATTAGTTTATGTGTGACATGAGAAAAAAGGTTGAAAATTGCAGAGTTAAAGCATAAAAATTGCCCTGGCTGTTTTGGCTCAACAGTTAGAGTGTGCCCGCGGACCAATGAGTGGCTCTATCATGTTGATGTTTCTCGCTGTCTCTCTCCCTTCCTCCCACTCTATCTGATGATAAATAGAAAAATATCCTCAGGTGAGGAATTTATAAAAAGCATAAAATGTAATACTGGGTACTAAACATCTTTAATATACATCGTATAAAGTGACATTGTAGTTACACCTAATTAATAGATATGATATGGAACCAATTAAAAAGACCATACCATTTTGTGAAGTTTATGTGATATAAAGTGAAAATGATTTCTGGTTGTAGAATTACAGTTATTTCAAAGCAATTAAATACATCTTACATAAAACATAATGGATTGCAGTTTATTTAAAATATTGTTTCATCCAACACATTTTTTCTTTGTCATTGATAGTAGAGAGAGAGAGAGGAAGAGAGAGACAGAAACACCAAGAGAGAACATGGACTGGCTACCTCCTGCATGCCCCCCACTGAGGATCCGGCCCACAACCTGGGCATATGCCCTGTCTGAGGAATCCAACAAGAGACCTCTTGGTGCATGAGCCACACCAGCCAGGCTCATTCAACACATTTTTAAGTTCCATAAATATTTGGATCCCTACTGTGGTAGGTGCTGGGATATAATGGTCAAAAATGAATAATTAAATTCTAACTTATTATAGTAATGATAGCAATGACATTTATAGCAAGCATGGCTGTGTGCCAGGCATTCTGAGTGTTATACATTTATTTAGTGCTCAATACATTTTTTCTTTTTCAAAACATGTTATTTTGCATTCACTGTATTAAAATTAGACTAATTTTACTTGTGTTCACATGTTCTTAATATCTTTTTTTGCTTATTCATATTCACTTGGGTCCTCCTCATTGTTCCACTTTTTCTCTAAATAAATATTATTTAGGAATCTCAACTTCTAAAAAGTGTCTTCCTTGATGTTGTAGAGGGTAGGGTGTCTATGCTTCCTGAACGAAATTTTAGAGCAAAGAAGTGACAACCTTGAGTACAGCAGTATTAATACTTCACTTGGAAATTGCTGTGTATATTCTGGATGGACTTTTGCAAGGCCTCTTTGTAGCCTTGCTATCTCTTCTGAAGATCACTGGACCAAAAATAGGAAGTTATTTTTGTGGCTATGTTATCATTTTCATTTAGTTTGATTTTTTCTTTGAAGTGCTAAAAATGTAAAATAGTGAAAGGAAACTCAAATTCTAGTGCTTTTCTATCAGAATTAGTAATCTAGTTTGTCCACTGCTTTGGCCTTTGTTACTTATCCTCTTAGAGATTCTTGACTTTGTTTATCAGTTACTAAGTTAGGATCAGTATAAAGAAAACAAGGTGAAATTTGCATCTAATCAGATTTGTTACTTGATGACAATCAAAAAATTAGTTTTAGGGACAAGGTTGAAGAGATTGGCTAAAATTAATACTGTGTTTCCCACGTTGTATTCTCACAATTTAATATCACTGAAATTGTCATGTCCTAAAATTAGTGCATGCATTTAATATAGTAATGTTTTTTTCCCTTGAAAAACTTATTAAGTAATATCTTTAAATGTATGGCATTTTAGAATTAAGAAAATAAAGCATTATAGATCCTTTATAGTGTATTTATTTGTATGGTCTTTATCATTACTAATATAGATTCTTGAGAGATGACTGTTAAGATTTATATGCTTCATAAATTATTTTGGAAACTGCAAAATTTTTGTATAAATTGTACTTTTATAAATAAAAATCCATTTATGTACACAGAGAACACTTTATTAAAATCCCTGTGAAGTGATTTAGAAAGAATTTTTTTAAAAAGGAAAATGATAGCTCTTTGTAAAGAATAATACATTTTCATGTGAACACTCCTTCCCAATTTATCTTTATCTTAAATGTGTACTTTTAGACTCTGTCTAATAAAAAGCTCTACCTAACCAATTGGTCACATACATTTGTTAACTACCTCAATATATTTGTTAACTTGATTTCTGAAATTATCCAGTTAAATTTTTTAAAAATCCAATACTATTAATGTGTTTAACATGCATGTATAGCTACTAAGTAAACTTCTTGTAGGTTTTTTTTTCTTGTATGCTTTTAAAATAAAATTTAAAATAATAACCTGCATCTGAAGACTTTATTTGGCTTTATGTAAATCTTCATTCTTGTTGACCACTTCTAACTTTTGCTTTAACCCATAGAACGGGGAAATTAAAAGGGCGTCATGAAGAAGGAATATAATATTTATTAGTTAACCTAGATTTGTATGGAAAAAAAACCTTAAAATTCACAGTATAGCTTTTCTAATAATGTCATTTTATAATGTATTCAGTGGTTTCATTACTTAATGTGACTACAGTAAAAGATAGTATAGAAGTGGTTAAAAATTAGGCTAGTCAAACTGAATCCACAAACTATACTGTTTTGTATCTTGCTTTTCTCACTATGCCAGTGTTTTAAAGATATTTTGGCAACCCTGTCTGGTGTGGCTCAGTTGGTTGGCATTGTCTCATGTACCAAGAGGTCACCAACCAGTTCAATTCCTGATCAGGCCACATGCCTGGGTTTTGGGCTGGATCCCTGATAGGGGGCATACAGGAGGTAGCCAATCGCTGTTTCTCATCGATATTTTTTTCTCTCTCTCTCACTCTCCTTTCTATCTAAAAATCAATTAAAATACTTTTTAAAAAGATATTTTGGCAAACAAATTTACTTTGACACTATTTTTTTACATATATTCATTTTCTACTGTAAAGTTAGAGAACAATCCATCTAATCAGCAGCAGTAGCTGATTCATTTTTCCTTATGTGACTCCTCTCTTTAGGCTTTTATTTCATAGCCTAAAGTCATCACTAAAAAAAGAAAAAGTTTCTCCACTCTATGAGGAGGAGATAAATTCTTGTACCACCTTATAAACTTGACAGAACACTCTGTAACTATGCAAGGTCAAAGCCTACCCCATAAGATAATTAGTTCTAAGGAGGAAACGTAGTTACATTGAATATAGTAAATTTCTGTTTAGTTTGGAATTTAGTTTACTGGTTTGAAGGAACTTTTCTGCTTTATATTATTTTTATTGGTTATATAAAGGGTAGATAGTATAATATTGGGAAATTTCTGAGATTTCCCAAATATAGGGATATTTATAGGTTCAACCTATTTTCTAATACCTAAGTCTATAGGACTATTAAATGATACTGATACTACAGAAGTATTTAAAAAATGAAGTGTAGCTGTCCTGATGTGCCAAAGTTGTGGGTTTGATCCCCAGTCAGGGCACATCCAAAAAAGCAACCAATGAATGCGTAAATAAGTGAAACAACAAATCCACATTCCTGTCTCAAAATCAATAAAAAATAAAAATAAAGTATAGTTTTATTAGCAATATTTCATTATATTTTGATTAAAAAATTGATCCATGAATTATGTATGTAGCTAGTAGGTAATTAGAATAATAAGCTAATTTATTACATAACAGTTTGTCTCCCAATCATTATGGAAAAAAATTTACTTATTTTGGGATATTTTGAAAATACCATCATCTCAGGAGAAGAGCTCATTAGTTTGTCAATAGGACTCTGAAAGCACAAGTTGAAGGCAGAACCTATGTTGTCTTTTTGTTTGTAGGAAAAACAGTTTTGTGGCAAGTGCTAAAATAATTATGAAAAAAGTTATCTTTGGTACTAATAGGTCCTTGTGTGAAATTTACCTTAGTATAATAAAAGTTAATCATTTGGGATACAGACAGAATAATTTAATACAGGGTGCAATAACTTTTCAAATATTTTAAGGACCAGCTATCGAACTGCGCCAAAGAAAAAAGCCAAAGTCTTCAGAAAATAAAGAATCTGTCAAAGAAGAGAAAATTGATGACACTCCAGTTCCTGAAAGAGCTCCAAAACGTAAGTTAGATAGATTTGGAGTTTTTGTGCTACTGCAAAAAATACAGTTATGCTAGGTAGTATATTTTCTATTAATATTTTAAAAGCCCAGCTGGTGTGGCTCAGTGGTTAAGTGTTGACCCATGCACCAAGAGGTTGCTGGTTCAATTCTCGGTCAGGGCACATGCCCATGATGTGGGCCAGATCGCCAGTGGGTGGCATGCTGGAGGCAGCCAATCGATGTTCTCTCTCATCGATGTTTCTATCTCTCTCTACTCCTTCTTTCCTCTCTCTCTAAAAATCAATAAAGAAAAGAAAATTTGTTTTAAAAAGTAGAAAAGGTGAAAGATTTATGCGATCTGAAGAGAAACCAGGCACTTAAATGTGTCACAGGCTAAAAAAAATTTTTTTAAAGTAGAAACATTTTGTGATTAGAATGTAGTGATACCAGTCAACTTTCATGAGGTTTTACTGTAGAACAACCTCTAAATCTCATTTACAACACACACATATTTCTGATGAACGTTATATGTTGTGGCTGCAGGTTGGCTGGTGTAGCTTTATGTGTCATGAAGGAATAGCCCCTATATGGGACATGTGTTTCTTGTGGCCAAGGAAAAGAGCAGGAAAGCAGGCAGAGTTATGTAGTGCCTATTAAAGTTTCTGCTCAATTGGCAGACTGACATTTGTATTCATATTCTGTTGGCCCAAGTAAGTCTATAATCAATCTAGAAAATGGAATGAAGAAGTATACTCTACAGAGAAGCATTGTAAGTCATATGGTGGAAGACAGGGATGAATAATCTTCTTATAGGAAAGGACAAAATAGTTTGGAATAGTAGCTGTCTACCATATTCTGTATTTTTGGTCATAAATATATTCTTCTTTTGTTCAGACAAAGTATATTTGCCATCTCCCTTACCCCAAGGAAGACCCTCAGTCTTATCCATGGCCATCAGTCTTGAAGCCCAAGGTCTCCTTATCTACATCAGAGTCTGCTCTGACTCTTTCTGATCCTGTGACCTATAAATTAAAAAGACAAGTTATGTCTGACTGGTATGGCTCAGTGGTTGAACATCAACCCATGCACCAAGAGGTTGCCAGTTCAGTTCCCAGTCAGGACACATGTCCAGGTTGTGGGCCTGACCATTGTGGGGCAGGCAGGAGGTGGCCAGCCAATCAATGTTCTCTCTCATCAATGTTTCTATCTCTCTCTCCCTCTCGTTTCCTCTCTCTCTAAAATCAATGAAGGAAAAAAAAAATACTGTGAAACTTAAAAACAAAACAAAACAAGTTATTTGCTTTGTATCAGGGGTCCCCAAGACCACCCTCATGTTCCGAGATAAGCTATAAGGACTCAGAGGTGTCAGAATAGAGTCATATTCACATGTGTGATTTATTACAATGAACAGTACAAAACAAAATCAGCAAAGAGAAAAAGTCTTATGGGCCGAGGTCTGCAAGAAACTAAGCATAGGCTTCCAAGACTCCTCTCCAAATGGAGTCACACAGGACATGCTTAATTGTTTCAGCTTTTCAGATTTTAACATTGGTAGTTTTTGTTTACCAGAGAAACTCATTAGTGACTTTGCTCAGGGTTTTTATTGGCAGCTGGTCACGTTCCTTCTGCCTACTACACACCAAAATTCTAGATTCCCAGAAGGAAAGCAGTAGAATGAACCATACTTTTTGTACAAACAAGTTAGAGGGAACCACTCGAATGGTGAGAACCCTCCTCCGGACCGCAGGCCAATGCTCTAACCGTTGAGCCAAACTGGCCAGGGCGAGAACCCTCCTGAAATCCAAATTCCCAGATGCCAGCCAAGAGCTTACCTTGCAAACAGGCCTTTCTTTGCAAAGCACTTGCAGGCCTGCTATGTTAATTATTTTTTGCACATGTCCCCTTTCCCATTATACATTGTTGGACAGGGACAGGATAAACAAAATAAATGCTTTCATTCAGAAAGAGAAAGAGTGAAGCACACATCATCCGGTGGTCCATAACAATTCTGAAATCCTACTAGGTAAATATGAGGTCTCCTTCACTCTGGGGTAGGTAATGTTTCTTGATAGGCCTGTTTTCCTTGGGAGTAGTTTCCCATTTTATTATTCTCTGTGGCTCCACTCTCTGGAGGTTTTTCCTTTTCCATTATCCTCTGAAAATGGCTTTGGAGAATATACTATCCTTAGTTGTTAAACAATATATTTCTTCAAATAAGATAAAGGGAATAGGTTATCTATAGATTTAATTCAGGGACTAGCAGTGAGAAAACTTTTTTGGAAGCTGGAAAAATATTATGCAGTGACAAAACATTTTTTTAAACTTTCCTATGAATAGTTGCAATTTTAATACTAACTTAATCTTTTAGGTAACAAGACTGCAAGAAAGAATGTTTCTAGAGTCTCTTGATTATCAGCTGCATTTGATTGCAGGAGAGATGAATTTAGAACAGAATTGGCCAGTTTACAAGCAAGAATGAAAAGAAAAATAGAGAATCCAAAATTTGGGGGACTTGTAGTGTTAAAGTTAGAGCTGTATGTCTTTTTCAACCAGTGAAAAAGAAAATCAAGAAATAGTCTGAGCCCTGGCTGGTTTGCCTCAGCGGTTAGAGCGTCAGCCTGCAGTCTGGAGAGACCCGGGTTCAGTCTCCGCTAAGGGCACGTATCTCGGTTGCAGTTTGTCCCTGGCCCTGGTTGGGTCATGTGGGTGGCAACCACTTGATGTGTCCCTTTCACGTCGATGTTTCTCTCTCTCTCCCTCCCACTCTATCTGAACAAAATATCGAAAAATGTCCTTGGGTGAGGATAAAAAAAAAAGAAATACTTTGAGTAATAAAAGCTGAGTAGGATGAATTATTAGGGCAATGACCAAATCAAGGATATGGTTTTCACATAATTTATTCAAATGTATGAATGGATTAAGGTGGTTTCTAGTAAGTTGGACAAAACACTCGGAAAAAGAACAAAGGATATGGTTCCACAAAAGTTTTATAAGCTCAAAATACATGTAGTTAAATATGTAGAGAAAAAATTGTGGGTATAGTTATTGGAATATGGAGCTGACTGGAACAAAATTGTTCTTGGCAAAAATAAGTGATTTAAATTTTTAAAATTAAGGTATAATTAACATACAGTAAAATGTACAGAGTCTTAGGTGTTTAATTAAATGAACTTTGACACATGAATACAGTTAAAACAAGATATAGAACATTTCTGTTATCCCAGAAAGTTCTTTGGTATATCTTTCTAGTAGGTTTCTTCTATACACCCTCAAGACAACCACTCTTCTGATATTTTTCTTTTTTTTTTTAATCCTCACCTGAGGACATTTTTCCGTTTTTGTTCAGATAGAGTGGGAGGGAGAGAGAGAAACATCGACGTGAAAGGGACACATCGAGTGGCTACTTCCTCCACAACCCCAACTGGGGCCGGGGACAGACGGCAACTGAGGTACGTGCCCTTAGCAGGAACCGAACCCAGGTCTCTCTGGACTGCGGGCCGATGCTCTAACTGCTGAGCCAAACCGGCCAGGGCTGATATTTTTCAATATTGATTAACTTTGTGTGTCTAGAATTTCATAGAAATGGAATCATACAACATATATGCTTTTGTGTCTGGATTCTTTAACTTAGCTTGTTATTTTATTTTATATAATGATTTGAGATTCATTCGTGTTGCTATAATTGCCTATCCCTTCTCTTCTTCTTGGGCGTTTGAGTAGTTTCCAGTATTTATCTATTAATAATAGAGCTGCTATGAACATGCTTGTACGAATCTTTTTGTGGACATCTGTTTTTATATCTCTTAGGTAAGAACCTAGAATTGCCAGCTAAGCTTTTGAGCAAACATACTGTCAAAAGGACTGCCAGCCTAGATGAAAAAAGACACAGCTATTCAGGTCCTAAAATCATGTATAAGTCCCTAACTTTCTTCATGCAAGAAGCAGCAGGCTCTTTGGGGGTTATCTTTCTTGAGAAGGAGTAAGTCTCTTTTGCCTTTGGGAGGGAAGTGAATATTTGTGATTAATGAGGCAGACCCTGGTGGATGGACCCTTTTATTGCTCCCAAATATTTGCTCCTTTCCTTAAAAGTGGATTATACATTCCTTCCTGTTACCATGTGATTTGAAGTGTCTCTCTGAAGCATAGTATACTTCCCTACCTCATTGTCAGGCTTATCAATATGACTTGTCTGGGCCAAAAGAATGTGAGTGAAAGTAGCAGTGTACTAGTTCTGACCAGAAACTGTAAGAGGCTTTGTATGATTCTGCCTGTTCTCCCCTTTGTGCCTGTCATGAGAACATGTCCCAAATAAGGATTGATCCCAGTCTGGAACTATGAAGAAGATACAAAGAGAAGATGCACAGCTAATCTGAAGCCTGGAATTGGGTGGAAAGTTACTGCTGACCTGAAATCCACAAGTAGCAAGATTTGGAGAAATATACCTTTGTTTTGTAAACCTCTGATAGTTTGGGGTCACTTTGTTGTTGTTGTTAATCCTCACCTAAGGATATTTTTCCATTGATTTTTAGAAAGAGAGGAAGGGAGGGAGGAAGAGAGAGAAACATCAGTGTGCGAGAGAGACATTGATTGGTTGCCTCCTGCGCGACCCTGACTGGAGCCAGGGATCAAACCTGCAACCCAGGTACATGCCTTTGACTGGAATCAAACCCACGACCCTTTGGTCCTCAGTTCCATGCTCTAACCTTTGAACCAAACTGACCAGGGCTGGGGTCACTTTTTTATCATAGCAAAGTTGACTGATAATCAAGTGGTCATTTAAAACATTTGGAAAAATACAGGATAAGAAAGATAATTAAATAATCCAGATAAAACTATTATGAAACAGTATTTTAACCATGACTACAAAAATGTATTTAGGATAGAAAATATGGAAAATAGAGAAAAGTAGCCCTGGCCAGGTGGCTCATTTGGTTAGAGTATTGTTCTCATACACAAAGGTTGCAGGTTTGATCCCTGGTTAGGGCACATGCAAGAATCAACCAGAGATTGCATAAATAAGTAGAACAACAAATCAATGTTTGTTTTGTTTTGTTTTCTCTCTCACTCCCTTTCTATCTCTTTAAAATCAATAAATTAAAGAAAAACTAGAGAAAAGTTATAAAAATAAAATGTGTGAGCCCTGGCCGGTTTGGCTCAGCGGTTAGAGCGTCGGCCTGCAGTCCCGAGAGACCCGGGTTCGGTTTCCGCTAAGGGCACGTACCTCGGTTGCAGTTTGTCCCCGGCCCTGGTCGGTTGTGCGGGTGGCAACCACTCGATGTGTCCCTTTCACATCGATGTTTCTCTCTCTCTCTCTGTTCCTCTCCCCCCCCCACTCTACCTGAACAAAAAAAAAAAGTGGAAAAATGTCCTCGGGTGAGGATAAATAAATAAATAAATAAATAAAATAAAATGTGTGAGTAATTGCAACAGATATAAATAACTACTCTTAAAATTTTGGCAAGTATATTTTTTTCAATGAACTTCTATTTTTTGTGAAATTGAATTCTACATTTCTTCTCTTAGCATGTCATTAGCTTTTTCCTGTTCTTTAAATATTATTAATTTATGCCCTATATTATGATTTTAACATTTATGTAGTGTTCCTTTTTTTTTCTTTTTTTTTTTGTGCATGATCAGAATTTTACAAATGAAGGTACTGGAGTATACAGAAGTTATCTGATTAAGCTAGTTTATTACTAACGTAACTTAATTGGAAGTCAGATTGTTTACTTTTAAGTTTTCCATTCAAATGATTATTTTTAAGGCAGTTCTTTCCAGGACCCAGAGCTCTTTATTTTCTCTAAAATATATACACTTATCTCCAGCTGGTGTGGCTCAGTCGTTGGGCGTCAACCCATATACCAAGAGGTCGCCAGTTCGATTCCTGGTCAGGACACACGCCCAGGATGTGAGCTGGATTCCCAATGGGGAGGCATGCAAGAGGCGGTCAATCGATATTCTCTCTCATTGATGTTTCTGTCTATCTCTCCCTCTCCCTTCCTTTCTCTCTAAAATCAATAAAGGAAAAAAAATTAAAAATAAATAAATAAAATATATACACTTATGTCAAACACTGATAGCTTGCCTGATTCCATCTTTTACTCTTTACAAAAAACTTTCAGAAACAAAAAATTTAGTATTAATGTAAGGCATTTATATAGAGATACTCAACTTACAGTGGGGTTATATTCATAAACCCATCTTAAGTTGAAAATATCGTAACTAGAAAATGCATTTAATACTATGCTATAGAGTATCAGTTGTTTGTTTACATTTATGATCACGTGCCTGACCAGGAGTTGTGACTGCTGCTGCTGCCCAGCATTGCAAGAGTATCATACCACATATCGCTAGCCTGGGAAAAGATCAAAATTCAAAATCTGAAGTATAGTTTCTACTGAATATGTATCACTTTAGCACCATTCTAAAGTCAAGAAATTATAAGTAGAAACATTATAAGTTGAAGAGTAGCTGTAGCTATATAAGATTGGTTGAAATTTTTTTTTTTTAATAGCACTTCATTATTAGGATTGGTTTTGTCCAAGACTTAAAGAAAAAAAAGAGGAAAAGATCCACGTTTAGAAACTTTGAGGAACTTTTGCCAAACTGTCACCATAAATAAGTTTTCTTATGTTTTTTACTGAGCTCTTACTATCTGCCAGGCCAGATGCTTTGTACATGCTATTGGAAGCAGTGATTTTAAAACAGTTTTATCATACTGATAATAATATTTGATTTATTGGGTAGTGGTTTTCAAGCATTTTGAATATAATTCATATAATTTAGTGATATCTAACTAGTTTTTAATGTCTCTAGTATGCTGTGCAAACTAATATTTATCAAATAATGTCTTGAAAATAGCTAAGATTTTAGTTTAGCTATAGTAATAAATCAGCAAGTTGATGTTTTATAAATTTTCAGTCATTCAGTAAGAGAACACTGGGCTTTGGGCCCTTAAGCCCATGTTTATACATAATCTTAGTAGCTGTAGCAGGACTAAATCATCATGTTTGTAGAAAATCCAAATGTGTTTTATGTTATTTCATCAAGAAGTTGTTATATATACATAACAGTTGTATATTATGTTTTAAATACATAATCATCAAAAGGCATTGAATTATATATACATTTTAAATGGCTGTAGTTTATACTATGTAAATTATTCCTCAATAAAGAAAATAATTCTTGGATAAGAAAAAAATGTCAATAGTAATTCTAAATGAACCTATTTTTTCTTTAGATATTTAGTAGTACATTCTATTTACTCCTTTTTAAAAATTAATATGCTTTAATTTTTAAAATATGTTCAATTTATAGAAGAAATGAGCAGATAGTACAGAATTCCCATGTTACAACCCACCCCCACCACCACACACACAGAGTTTTCATTATTATTATTTAATATTAGTGTGGTACATTTGTTACAATTAATGAATCACTATTGATACATTATTTTAAACTAAAGTCCACATTTTATTTAGATTTCTTTGGGTTTTACCTAATGTTCTCTTTCTGTTCCCAGATCCCCTCCAGGACACATATTTAGTTGTCATGTCTCTTTATATCCCTCTTGGCTGTGACAGTTTCTCATGCTCTCCTTGTTTTTGAGGAGCTTGACAATTTTGAGAAGTATTGGTCATGTATATTGTAGGTTGTTTGTTGAAATTTGTCTGCTGTTTTTCTCAGGATTAGACTGGGACAGTGGGTTTTTGGGAGGCAGACCACAGAGTTAGAATGCCATTTTCCTTGCATCATATCAAGGGTACATAGTACCTTTTGATTTTTTTTTTAATAGAAGTTCATAAGTATAAATATCATCTACATCTGATTACTTTTAATATGCTTTTTCAGATGTATTATTTCAGCGCTTTGCAAAGATTTTCATTGGCTGTCTTGCAGCAGTTACTAGTGGTATGATGTATGCTCTCTATTTGTCAGCGTACCATGAACGGAAATTCTGGTTTTCCAACAGGCAGGTAAGAAGAAAGACTTTTGAGAATATGAGAGTTACTTTAATATATAATATTAATTTAAGTAATTTGCTTTTCCAGGGAGCTAAACTGGTGTGATAGGTATGACAAGTGTTCTCTTATTTATAGCCATTAGAAACAAAATGGTATAAAGGCTATTTTGAGAATACTCATAGTATCAGCCTTGAAATTTTTAATAGAATATACTTTAAGGCCATAGAATAACAACTATGAAGATACTCTACTTCATGCAATTAATTTATCAGGGACTTTTGGTGGCAGTGGAATGATAAGGAGTTTACTCAGCATTGTAGTTCTCAGAAACAATCTGTGGAAATTTCAGCATCAAAATATATTTTTAGATTACAGGATTCGAATGTTTTTGGGGGGGGGAAATGATTAACAAGCATAACAGTATTTACTAAGGTGTTGCCTCATATTAGTATGTTTAATGTTTGGTTTTAATTCATGCATATTCCACAGACTCTTTAGTCACTGTAATTCATAATTCATTTGGCCTTTGATAAGTTTGTTTTCAACTTACTTTCATAATCAGATATATCTGTATTATGTGTTGACAAAGTTCATGGCTTTACGACTTGACTCTAAAGGGTTTGGATGTTTTGTTTTAGCCCAAATTTTTTTGTTTTTAAGATTTTCAATTGATTTTTAGAGAAAGGGAGAGAGAGAGAGAAACATCAATGTGAGAAACATTGATGGGCTGCCTCCTGTACACCCCCTACTGGGCAGCTAGCCTGCAGTGCTGCCATGTGCCCTGACCAGGAATCAAACCAGCAACATTTTAGTGCATGGGAAGATGCCCAACCAACTGAGCCATACTGGCCAGGGCTGTTCTCAAACCATTGATTTACTTAGTATCACCAAAACATTTAACTGAAAAATTACCTATATTGGTTTGACCAAAGCTATTACTATAGCATATCTTGTTTCCTTAATCTGCACAACATTAGTGGTTCTTAATACTGGATGTACAATAGAATCATCTGGGAGCTTTCAAAAAATTATCTCTTTCACAGATTTGTAGGTGGAGCTTGGAGGGGGGTGTAGTGCCTGAGATCAGTATTGAGCAAAATATTTCTAAGCAATTCCATGTATAGGCAGCATTAAGAACAACGAGAGGTTTGAAAATACAGAGGGAGACCCAACTCTTGAGTCGGCCTGCCTCCACTTGGACGCATATTTTTCACTGCTTCACAGAAGCACCTGTGCCCTGGTCTCTTTTTTTCTACCTGAATGAAACTTGCTTGACTCATTCTCTCTCTCTCTTTCACACACACATAACACACACACACACACACACACACACAGAAAAAGAAAATATAGAGAGCGTTTTCATTTGAAAAACCTTGTTTTTCAAAATATTGTGCATGAGCCAGGAGTATTGGCATTATATTATCTTGAAGCTTTTTCAGAATTGCATATTCTTAGCTCTACTTTATAATCAAAGTCTACATTTTAATAAGATCTTTAGGAGTTTCATATGCGTATTAAATTTGAGAAGTACTGGTTAAGAGTTTACATCTTTGAAATCTTAGAAACAAATCTGTTTTCATTCATAAATCATTTTAAGGAAATTTATTTAAATTAATATGGTCTAAATGAGAAAAAAAGGGTTCACTGGTCAAATATATTTGGGAAAGTCTTCCTCACGGAAAATCACAGTGCATAATATATATTAAAACTCTGGGAAGTCTTGCAATAAACCCATTTAACTTACTTTAATATAGAGCCTTTCACACAATTTATTTAACTGTAGAACTCTTTTTAGTTAACATCTATCTATATCTTAGGAAATTCTATTGATTAAACTTTGGGGAAACTGCTCTGATAGCTTTTGTTTATATACACATTTTATAAATATTATGCATGAGAAAATTTATTTTAAAAGATATTTTGTTAATTCCCATCCCCCCAACCCCCTCTCCTTTGGCAACCATCAGCTGCTTGTTCTCTATCTGTGGGTTCTCTTTTGTTTTGGTTTGGTTTTTTTTAGATTTCACATATAAACAAAATCATATGGTATTTGTCTTTCTCTGACTTAATTCACTTAGCATGGTACTCTGGGTCCATCTATGTTGTCACAAATGGCAAGTGGTCCTATGTAGAAGCGGCCTCTGTGCAGGCTGTGGGTACTGTTACTTTGGCAGGCCAGTAGAAACTCAGCGGGTGCTCTTGGTGTCCAGGGCAGTAGCCTACGGAGCAGGAGCAGCTCCAGGTGGGAAAGGCAGATGTGTATAATAACGCTCCCTTTGTCCAAGGCCAAAATGGGTTTGGGTGGTGGGTTGGGAACATTCTGCAGCGACCTTGCAGGTAGGCCAGAGCACCTGGATAGAGCCCCTGCCCACTCTATGGAAATGGAGGTGGAGATGTAAACAGTGGCAGTCACCAGTACCTAGGGTTTCCTAGCCTTCTTTTTTCGTCTCTTCCTCTTGTTCAGAAGCTGTTAATTCAGCCCTCAGTTGCCTCACAGGAAGGAGTAAGAGTTCTCTACATATGTGTATATTAGTTTGCTCATGGGAATTCAGCATCTTTCTATGTTGCCACCATCTTGGACCTCTCCAAAAGATTACAGATTTATCAAAGCCTGATTCGGCAGGAATACACAAGGTTTCTTAATGTTTTTGACTACCTATATTCTTGGTTCTATACAGATAGCCTAATTTTCTGAATTTTAAGACTTACTTCTGCCTGGCCAGTGTGGCTCAGTTGGTTGAGCTTCTTCCTAGGCACTGAAAGGTCACTGGTTGGGTTGATTCCTGGTCAGGGCACATGGCCAGATTGTGGGCTCAATCCCCAGTTGGGGTGTGTAAAGGAGGTAGCCCATCAATGTTTCTCTCTCTCCCTTAAAAAATTTTAGAAAAACATATTTTTAAAAAACGATTTACTTCTAATTTTTGGAAGGTTATTTGAAAAGCAAAGATTAAGAATCTGCTACTCTAAAACAGTACTAATTAATGGCTTGCTGTTCTGGATACATAGGGACATGGAATAACAATAGAAAATACTTTCTTAAACTTCTTTTTATTATGGACTGCTAACACCTCATCCATTATATTTTATTATCTGCTTTATTATTTTTGCTGTCCATAGGGCACTTCATTTGGTTTTACTTCCAGATTTTCTTATGCATAATATTGGTATCTGAATAATCGTTATATTTTCTTTTAGGAGCTTGAACGGGAAATCACATTCCAGGGAGACAGTGCCATTTATTACTCTTATTATAAAGATATGTTAAAGGCACCTTCATTTGAAAGAGGTATGATAACTACATTTGTATTTTTAATAACAATATATTTCTAGAATGAAATATTGTTGCCCAGGTGGTGTGGCTCAGTAGGTTGAGCATCGTCCTGTGCACTGAAGGGTTGATTCCGGTCAGGGCATATACCTCGGTTGCGAGTTTGATCCCTAGTTGGGGAGTAGACGGAATTGATTGATGTTCTCTCTCTCACAACAATGTTTCTCTCTCTGTCCCTCCCCATCCCTTCCTCTCTCTAAGCATGTCCTTGAATGAGAATTAAAAAATAAATTAATAAAATATTGTTCTTCTGTGTAGGAGCTCTGAATGTGGAGATTTGTCTCAGAATATAGGTATTGCTCCTTCCTTCCTTCCTTCCTTCCTTCTCCTTCCTTCCTTCCTTCCTTCCTTCCTGCCTTCCTTCCTTCCTCACCAAGGTTATTTTTCCATTGATTTTTAGATACAGTGGGAGGAAGAAAGGGAGAGAGAAAGAGAGATAAACATTGATGTGAGAGAGACAAATCAATTGGTTGCCTCCTGCATAACCCCAACCGGGGCCAGAGATTGACTCTGCAACCAAGGTACGTGCCCTTGACTGGGAATTGAACCCGTGACTCTTTGGTCCATGAGCCCACGCTCTAACCACTAAGCAAGACAGGTCAGGGCGCTATTGCTCTTTCCTGTACTTAATAAAATAATTGGAAAAATGAGGCACAGTATTATTTTGAATTTTTTTGATAATTTAAAATATTTAATGACTTCTGAATGACATTTTTAGTTATTGTAAAAGCAGAATAAATAACCTAGAGAAAAATGTTCTGTTTTAGGTGTTTATGAACTGACACATAATAACAAAACTGTATCTCTGAAGACTATAAATGCAATGCAACAAATGTCTCTATATCCAGAACTTATAGCCAGTGTTTTATATCAAGCAACTGGTAGTAACGTATGTGTTTTTCTTTTAATTATAATATTTACTATCTCACATACTTGAATTTTGAATCCTCAGAATTACTTGAATATAATTCTATTATCGTGTCTATTTTTTTCAATTAGGAGATTATTGAGCCAGTATATTTCTATATTGGTATTGTTTTTGGATTACAAGGAATATATGTTACTGCTTTATTTGTTACAAGTTGGCTTATGAGTGGAACCTGGCTAGCAGGAATGCTTACTGTTGCATGGTTCATTATTAACAGGTAAGAAAGATGTTTTTATGTTTTTTAACTTTTTGTGTCTGTGGTACTCAGTTCTAAAAATACTCTACCCCAATTCCCATATATTATATGGCACTGTTTTCCATAAGGTAGAGAGATTACCCAAGAAGTAGAGAGATTTTTCCAACTCATGCAGAAGGGGAAGTCAGAGATAATTCGAAGGATGAGAAGGGTTTGCTGTTCCGTTGTTGAATTGAAGTGAGGAGGAAATGACTTATTCCAATAACTAGTGAGCTCATAAAAGCACTACAAATACAGATGAGAACTGCAGCCCTAGCTGATGCTTTGATTTTAGCTTAGGGAGCCTCTGAGTAGAGAATCCAGCCAAACTCTGCTGGGTTTGTGACCTAATAAATCTGTGCTGTTTTTTGTTTGTTTGTTTTTTCAAAAGAGTTTTTATTGATTTTTAGAGATAGAAGAAGGGAGAGAGAGAGAGAGCGCGCGCACGCGCAAAACATTGATGTGAGAGTAGACTATCGATTGACTGCCTCCTGCATACCCCCTACAGGGTTCGAGCCTACAACCCAGGCATGTGCCCTGACCTAGAATAGAACCAGCAACCTTTTGGTTCTTGAGATGACGCTCAGCCAACTGTGCCACAATGGCCAGGGCAATCTGTGCTGTTTTAAGCCACTACATTTGTGGTCATTTGTCATTCAGCAATTGGAAAATAATGCAACTACCTTGTGTATCTCTTTTTTTCAGACATAGTGACATTGGCATATATGGATATACTTCTTCTTTTTTCTTTTATTCATGATTGATGACATAAGCTTCATACAAAGAAGGAAGAGGTGCCCTGGAGAGTTTTGCTCAATGGTTAGAGTGTCAGCCTGTGGACCAAAGAGTTGTGAGTTAGGATTGGGGTTAGGGTTAGAGTGTCAGCTGATTTTTTTTTTTTTTCTTTTTTGCTATGTTCCCCTAGTAGAAACCGATCCTGGGACTCTCTGGTCCGCAGGCCGATGCTCTAACTGCTGAGCCAAACTGGCCAGGGCTGATTTTTTTTTTTTATCCTCACCCAAGGACACTTGTTTTTTTTGGCACTTATCTTCAGATAGAGCTGGAGGGAGAGAGGGAGGAAGAGAGAGAGAGAGAAACATTAACGTGAGAGAGATGTATCAACTGGTTGCCACCCACATGACCCCAACCAGGGCTGGGGACAAACTGCAACCAAGGTACGTGCCCTTAGCGGAAACCAAACCCGGGACTCTGGTCTGCGGGCCGACACTCTAACCACTGTGCCAAACTGGCCAGGGCTGTCAGCTGATTTTTCAAAAGAAACTTTCAGTCAGAAAAGACTGGGAAGAAATACTCAAAGTGATGAAAAGCGAGGACATACAACCAAAATTACTCTATCCTACAAAGCTATCATTTAGAATTGATGGACATAAAAAGAGTTTCCCAGACAAGGAAAAGCTAAAGGAGTTCATCACTACCAAGCCAGTATTATATGAAATGTTGAAGGGTCTTCTTGAAAAAGAAGAACAAAAATATGAACAATAAAATGGCAATAAATACATATCTATCGACAATTGAATCTTCAACAAAATGAACAAGCAGAACAGAAACAGACTCATAGAGAATATTTTGTTGGTTGCCAGATGGGAGGGAGTTTTGGGGAATGGATAAAAAAGGTAAAAGGATTAAGAAGTACAAATTGATTGTTAGGCTGACAAACGTCGAATGGAAGGAGAGTGGGAAGAAATAGACCAAAGAACTTCTATGCATATATGCATAACCAATGGACACAGACAACAGCGTGGGGAAAGATAGGAGGGGGCGGGAGCAGGGAGGAGGGGATCAATAGGGGAAAAAGAGGAACATCTATAATGCATTCAGCAATAAAGATAAGTTAAAAAAGAAAGAAAACATGACCCATGTATACACTATCTACAAGAGACCCACCTCAGAACAAAAGACACACAGGGTGAAAGTGAAAGGCTGGGAAAAAATTTCCATGCAAATGGAAACAAACAAAAAACTAGGGTAGCAATACATATATCTGGCATAATAGACTTCAAAATAAAGGCCATAACAAGAGACAAATAAAGTCACTACATAATGCTAAGTGGATTGATCCATCAAGAGTATCGATATAACCCTGGCAAAGATATATGCACCCAATATATGAGCACCTAAGTAGACCTGAAAACTCCTTGAGGACTTACATCACTGGATAGGTCTTCCAGACAAAAAGTCACCAAGGAAAGTGATCTTAAATGATGTACTAGTTCAGATGGATTTAATTGATATTTATAGAATATTTCATCTGGAAACTACAGAATATACATTCTTTTTAAGTGCACATGGAACATTCTCAAAGAGAGACCATGTGCAAGGACACAAAATAAGTCTTTACAAGTTCAGGAAGATTGAAATATTAAGCATCTTCTCAGATCACACAGCATGAAATTAGAAATCAACTACAATAAAAAAAACTCAAAACATTCAAACATATGGAGGCTAAATAGCATGTTATTAAACAATGCATGAGTTACCAATGAGATCAAGGTAGAAATCAAAAACTTCCTGGAAACAAATGAAAATGAGTAACCCAAAAGCCGTGGGACATGGTGAAAGCAGTCCTGAGAGGGAAGTTCATATCATTATAGGCCTGCCTCAAGAAACAAGAAAAATTTCTAGTAAGCTATCTAACCCTACAACTTAAAGAATTAGAATGAGAACAGCAAGAAAAACCCAGAGTAAGTAGATGACCAGTAGATAAGACAAAATGCTCAATGCCACTAATCAGAGAGATGCAGATTAAAACTACAGTGAGTTATCACCTCATACCTGCCAGAATGGCTACCATCAATAAATCAACAAACAAGTGCTAGAGAGGTGATGGGGAAAAGGGAACCCTAGTGTACTGCTGGTGGGAATACAGACTGGTGCAGCCACTGTGGAAAACAGTATGGAGTTTCCTCAAAAAATTAAAAATGGAACTGTCATTGGAACCAGCAAGCCCACTTCTGGGAATATATCCTAAGAATCCTGAAACACCAATCAGAAAGAATATATGCACCCCTATAGTCATAACAGCATAAGCTAAGATCTGGAAACAGCCAAAGTGCCCATCACTAGATGAGTGTATGAAAAAGCTGTGATATATTTACACAATGGAATAATATGTGGCTATAAAAAAGCATCTGTTACCCTTTGCGACAGCATGGATGGACCTGGAGACTGTTATACTAAGAGGAATAAGTCAGTTAAAGAAAGACAAATGTCACATGACCTAACTTATATGTGGAATACAATGAACAAAATAGGGCCAGAGGCCCTGGCTGGTTTGGTGCAGCAGTTAGAGCATCGGCCTGCGGTCCAGAGAGACTCGGGCTCGGTTCCCGCTAAGTGCATGTACCTCGGTTGCAGTTTGTCCCCAGCCCTGGTTGGGTCGTACGGGTGGCAGCCACTCAATGTGTACTTTTCACGTCCATGTTTCTTTCTCTCTCTCTCTCCCTCCCGCTCTATCTGAACAAAAAGAAAAAAGAAAAAATGTCCTCGGGTGAGGATAAAAAAAAAAAAAAAAGGTCCAGAGGCATGGATGCATGAAACAGACTGACAGATCTTAGAGGGAAGTGGGCTGGTGGGGATGGGAAGAGATTAACCAAAGAATTTTTATGTATAGCCCATGGGCATAGACAATAATATGGTGAAGTCCTGGAGTCTGGTAGAGGGAGGAAAGGGGGACATATAGGGGACATTTGTAATACTATCAACAATAAGAATACATTAAAAAAATAAAAACAAAAGGAAAATGTGTTTTGCCTTTTTTTTTATTGGTATATATTTTATACAGTTGACCTTTGAACAACAAGGGTTTGAACTTCAACGGTCCACTTATATATAGATTTTTTTCATAACTGTACAGTTAGCTCTGCCTATTCTAGGTGTTCCATCCATGGATTCAGCCAACCTTGGATTGAAAACAGTGTATTTTGTTGAGAATCCATGGGTGTGGGTGGCCAACAGTATGCATTGTTTTATGCCATTTTATGTAAATGACTTAAGCATCCATGGATTTTGGTATCCATGGTGGGGGGCAGTCTCTAGGAACAAATTCCTTGCAGATGCCAAGGGACAACGTAAGTCTTTGGGGAGTCAAAGATACGTGTATATTTTCAACAGTGTGGGATCTGTGCCCCAACCCTGCATTGTTAAAAAGTCAACTTTACTGCAAAATAAATTTTAATGCCATGAAATATGTTCTCTTTTTTATTCATTAGCTTTAGAGTTTATGTATGATTGCCTGGAAAAGTATAAAACAATTTTAGTTATTCTATATATTATCATCATTAATAGTGTTCTTAATGGTATTTTGTATAACTTGTTTCTTAACCCAAGAAGGGGAAAGCAGAGTTATAAACTAGCTCCTATTTGTTCAAATTAAAGGATGTAGGCATACCAGAAAATTCAAGGAAATTTCAGGAAACAACATGTACAGACAGTAGGGGATGGTGGTCAGAGGCAGATCACTCCTTTTGAACAGATTGGTCTTCAAAACAGCTAATCTGAGTCAAGTTTTACATATAAACAATATGGAACTTGCCCTTGGTCCCGACTGATCTTCTCTACAAATATATACCTGGGTATCACTTTAGTGGAAACATCTTTATGTTTGATAAACAAAGAAAATATATATGATTAAAAGTCCACACTTAATCTTAGCCAAAAGGCCGAGAAGCAATGTGATAAAAGTCTATATTAAATTTAATCTTTGGCAAAAAAAGAAAAAAAACTGTGTACATTAGTAATGATAAAGAGGTAAGATGCAATGAATGCACATGTCTTAGAGGTACAATTAACAGAAAATAATGGTAACGTGATGCTGGTTTTGTTAAGATGGTATTGGCGTACTCATGTTTTGCCAATTTTATGTTTTTTCAATTTTAGGTGGTACGTTTTTGAAATTTTATTTTATTCCGAGGAAGTCATCCAAAACAGATGGGAAGAGTTCATTATTTGAACTTGTTTATTAT